AAAAGGATCAGAAGAAGGATCATGTATAGAGCGGTCTTTTATATAGCATGAACTACTTACTGCAATATAATCAATAGACCTGAAAATATGAATATTTTTTTAACTTATGGGTAAGATTTTTAAAGACGATTTCACAACTTACTTGCAATTGATATTATTAATACATTCCTCTTTACATTGATTCAAGGTTTTCTGGGTTAATGTTACTATATGGCCTTCCCTGATTGAAGTATTTCTATGAACTTCATTAAAACAAACTGCAGAAATGAGAAATAAACAGAAAAAAGTGAAATTTTGATAATTATTTTAGATAAAAGAAATTGAAATATAAGTCAATACCATCTGGACGTGAGGCTCCTTCTTTCAAACCAATAAAAAGTATAAAAAACTGTAAGTAAATGTGAAAATACTGCATTTTCGAAAGCATACAATAGAAATTTTATATTTCCTAGTCTTTCATTATAGTTTCAGTACTTTATAAGTTTTAACATTATTTTGAAATATTCATGCAAAATAACAAAAAAGTTCATTCACAGTCTTCCTTTTCTTCACACTAATGCAAAATTAATTTCAAATGGGCAAAAGTACATAAAATGCTTTCTTCCTACATTGTGAATAATTTTTTAAGTTGTTTGTTCTATGAACTAAAAGCAGTAGTCATATATTGCCTTGTTTAATTTTACAATGGTTTTGATCAATATGACAAAAAATAATTTATTGAAGTTTTATGCAGAAATATTATAGTATAGACAAGCAAATTAACTAACTGACATTGTACTTTGTTCATCTCAATATGTCTTGAACAGCTAATTATACATAGTAAATGCTATATATCTATTAAATGAAGTTTGAAAGTGATCAAGTTTTTAACTTCATTCTGTCTGAGTTATTTTTTAATTATGCATTTTGTGAAATAAAATATTTAAAATTATCAAATACAATCTAAAAGTAGTTTTATTTCATTTTCTGATTTCTACAAGATCATTTTCTCTGACAACAGCTTTTCATAAAGAGCAAGAACCTTTCATTCATAATTTACCTTCAAAAATGAATCATAAATATCGATACTTTGTTAACAGTAACTCTTTAATCTAGGATGCCAGGACTCTCATCATTGTTGGTCTTGATTGTGACTTGATAGATGGGCAAATTCTATATTATATGAACATTATGTTTTATCTAATTAAGAGATTTTGCATAATTGATTACTCAGTTGGCAATCTGAAATTCAGTTTAATCAATTTAGTTTAGTTGACAAAATGTAAATTAATTTAATCAATCCCATTGAATTTTTGTGTGAATTTTGTGAATTTTTTTCATAGGTATGGCTATGAACATTTTCTAGATTATTCAATCATTCTTATTAAGTACTCTGTCATTTGCTGGTACTGTTCATATTTACAATATAGAGAATGATAATTCAGTTGAAAAATCTCAATGTTTAACAGGTGATTGTTGGACAAAAAAAAGGAAACATGGCGAATTCATTTCATTTGAAAGAGGTTGTTTAAATTCACATACGCACTCCAGAATTTCAAAAAACTGAAGTATTAAAAATTGATTGAAAGAGAAAATTTGCAAACAACATTATAGAGGAAAATTTTTAAAAACTGGAAATTGAAAACAATATCTGGAAAAGACAAAATCACTTCTTCTATTTATAATTTTATGTATTTTTCAACTTTCTTAGTCTACTTTATTATATGAAAATTTTCTGAACTTCTTGCTTTTTGTTAGATTAGAGTGCTCACACAAATATAGCCTATTATTTTACTGCAGGTGTGGAATTACGTAATGATCATCTATAGGAAAATATATTGATATATTTAGGTTCATTTTTTTAGTTCCATTAGAATTTTGATAAAATATTACAGCAAATTATTAATATATAATGAAGATAACAAAGACTAAGCATTAGATCTGCTTCAATAGCTATCAATTGTTCATTATCAACCCTTCTGTCTTTCTTTGTGTGTGCAGCTGTTTTCCCAATAGCATTGTATAGTTTCTCGACAATATATATTTTAAAATATATGATCTTAAGGAAACTAAAAATCAATATAAATATTTTATATTCAGTTGAATAGTAACAGTGGAAATTATATGACAACTGCTTTTAGTTCAAGGAACAAAGAGCCTAAAAAATTATTCATAATGTAGGAAGAAAGCATTTTTTGGATGTGGTAGAAAACAGCCATAAATCTATGGTTTTACCCTAACCCTAACCCAGCCCTTGTTTTTGCCTAACCTTTTTGAATACCCCTAACCCTTAGATGGGACCCTCCTAAGAATATATCAACAGTTATCTTATTCCTCCTGGACATTTCCCAGGCTGAAATCTAACTTTCAAATATTTCATTTATGGCCGTTTTCGACCGGTCCCGCATTTTTTGTACTTTTGCCTATTTGAAATTCATTTTGCATTGGGTAAAGGACAGTTGACCCTTATGATTTTTAATCCCTAAACAGTAAGTGATTAGGAAAGTTTAAAGGGTCAACTTGATAATATTATTGTGTTATTCAATGAAAACTATCTTTTGATATTGCTTTACTGCCAAAGTAGATAAGTAATATGATAAAATATCATATCTAAATTCCCTATCTGTACTTAATTTGAAAACTATATACAGAATGAATACATTGAAAAACAAAAAACATGGTTTATTTCATATATTCTGCCACAAATTTCTAAAAGTGTTGATGAAATATGTATCAGAATATTTTTGTTTTATAAATTATAAAGAAGAGAACAGTATTACTTCAAATTAATTCCTTAAAACCATCAAAAACAACCAGAATGACTTACCTCAAATTGAGTGATAACAGAAAAGAAAGTACATCTTTCCTCCTTCTCCACTGAAGATTTCTTATCCATTCTCTGAAATGGAGGAAAATTCCAGGTTTCAAATTCTCTTTTTATCCTAATCAATGAAATCAACTCTTAATAAAAGGCTACAAATCAATTTCCAGAGTTAAATATAGCTTGAATATAATTTTTGTACCATTTAAATGAAAACAACATCCATTTTTATAATATGGGTCAACTGTCCAGATCCTGTGTAAGCCCACACAATCTTTCAGTAAATTTCCAAACACTACACATTGTTCTTCATTTAATTCACAGTCACATATATCAGGGTTTTTTAGAGTATTTAATGACATTTGAAGTCCTTCACAAATATTTAAAAATCCAATTCCCATATTTTTATTATCACTTAGATAAATTGTTTCCAGTATGGAACAATGATTCAGCAAATTTCCAAACCCATAAAAATATTAGGTGTGTTTAATTTTATTATTTAGAATAAAATAATGGAATCTACGAAAATAAAAACAATTTTGATAAATATAATGACTTTCACTTTGGAAAGAATTTACTTTGAAATTCAAGCTATTTTAGATATTTATATTTGAGCAAAAATTATCATTTTAGGTTTAACAGAGGTAATTTCATGTGCATTGTAATCTAGATTAATGTTATATTCATATTTTCAATACATGTTTTTTAATTTTGTGAAAAAATTCAATTTATTTGAAAAATATATTTCAGCCATTTTGAATAATTGTAAGTATACCTTTCCAATACTGATTTAAAATCAAAATATTATTCTTCTTTTACAGATGTGTTCAATAATATTATTTTTTTTATTTACTAATTATAGTTAATATTTTCAGTCTGGTATAAAAAATCATTCATAAAATATGAGAGTCAAATGTAAGAATTGCAAGCTTTTTGTATATGAAAGACAGAAGAAAAGTCTTGTGTACTTTGCAATGAAATTATTTATCAGAAATGCATCATAACTATGATTTTATATTTTATATGGCTTTAATAAATATTCAGCTATTTCAATGAGATTTTAAGGTGTCAGTTTGTCTGGATTATGAAAGAAAAAGATTCCTTCTTCAGATGAAGAGACCAGAAGATGAAATTGTAGAAACTGGTGATGTGTATGGAAAATTACAAAATTCAAATAATCTTCAAAATGAAGATGGAGAAAGTCACCAAGTTTCAAATGAGCCAGAGTTCTGTGATGATGGCAATTTTGATAACTGTGAGATTAATGGAAATGAAATGGATGAAAATTTAAATGAGGATGTGACTGTAGATGGAAATGAAGGTATGATGGATGCAAATGTGAATGACAATGGAATATTGAACAATGGAAATATTAAACACTTATCTATACACAGCTATGTCAAAAAAGATGGTGAAATGAAACATGTTCCATTGGCATTTATTTTTATGACATTAAGAAAAGAAAAACTTATAAAAAAGCATTTAAGATATTATTTTGAGAAATTCATTCTTTTACTATTTTTAGATGAATGTTTCATTCTTCAGAGTGTCAGAAACCTAACTGGCATGTCACAGCCTGAGAAGATAACAATTGACTTTGAGATGTGTCTGTGGAGAGCTGTATCCAAAATATATCCAGAATCACAAATTCATGGATGTGTATTCCATTTACTCAAGCAATATATAGGAAAATACAGGTAAAACATTCATTTTTAATTTAACCTTTAAGGTTTGCCTGTACAATTAATGATTCTTCAAGTCTTTTGGATACTCTGGAAAGTATATGGAGAAAGGAGAGGACTGGAGAGACATGAAAAAGCTGATGGCTTTATATTTTCTGCCTGCAGATATCATTGCTCCAACATTTTACAGATTGAAATCTGAACTTATAGAAAAAGAAAAATTTACTGATTTGTTGGAATATTTTGAAGCAATTTGGATTATGAACTCCATATGGAAACCAGAGAATTGGTCTATATATTGAATATCCTTATAATTTGGGAAAATTATAGACTTGGAGGGCCTTTGGCAGATGAGTTATTAGTTCAAACATCTGATATTTATGCTCCATAATATTCTTTTTTTTAAATGTTTTTTTTTTTACTTTTTCCATTCTTTTATCTTTCAAAGTTATGTGTTAATCTATTATCATTTTCTTAGTATTATATATACTTTTCTTTAGTATTAATAAAAAAAAGGTCTAGAATTTCATGGGTATGGTTTCACCCAAAATAGCTATGATTTGACTCAGGTACAGTTTCACCCCTATTTGAATGTCTTTCCCTTTCTTCCTTCCTCCCCTTATAATTTCAAAGGATTGATGGTAATTTTTGTTGGTGTCAAGGTCCCCTGTGGCATCAAATGAATCTTCATTTAAATCTTGAGGTTGCAATTGTAATGTTTTTCCAATAGCATCAATTCTTGTCAGGACAATTGTCATTGTGTTTTAGTGATAGCTGAACAAATATCACATTTGAAAACAATCACATCTGCTGTTCAAATATAATTAATAAAAATTATTAAGAATTTCATTCTCTTCCCAATTGTAGTTGTCTGCACTGCACATTTAATATGACACCAAAATGTTGATCCAGATAGAACCTCAAGTTCTTCTGCAAGTATTACCAAATGAATGATATTTGCCAATAAATTTTGAAAGACTTTGAAATTTATCTTAATCTATATTGTAATTAGAAACAAATTTTTTATTCAAAATCAACAAAATTTACATTGAGCACATTATACTTTTATGAAACATTTTCAAAAGATTCAAATTGCAAAGTCTTAAAACTTTTCTATTCTTGTCATTTTTTACAAAGAATCAACTTTTCTTTGGATAGATTTTGTCAAGAACATTTTGATGATTTTTGTACCAGTTTACAATCATTATCTTCATAATTATCGTCAATTAAACTTTGATTAATTTTCTTTGATGAGAATGATTTATATTGTTTAGTTGAATTATTAGAAAAAGAATACCACAGAAAACGTCCACAAATGAGTGCTTTTACCCTAACCCTAACCCAGCCCTTAGCAGTACCTAACCTTTTCCATTACCCCTAACCCTTAGAGGAGACCTTCCTAAGTACAAATCAGTTGCTGTTTTCTTCTGCCTAACCATTTCTCAATCCAAATTTTTGTCTTGAAATTTCTCATTTGTGGACGTTTTCTGTTGACCCCTTAAAAAATGCTCCATACAAAGCTTATTTATTATTTTTTCAACGGTCTCATTTATATAAGTCTTGCAATTGTCAAGACATCTTTGAAGCGGGGCAAAAGTTTGGAAGATGTGAGACATTTTTTAAGTAAGTGCACAGCCTTAAGGGAATTTGATATGGATAGCAGTCAATATTTCAGCTCAATTGATGCACTTTGCAATGGTTCTGCTCCAGAGTCTAAAATAGTAATTATAGTAATTAGCCTCCAACATCACAAGTTCAAACTCTCAAACAGAGTGGAAGAATCTGGACTGCAGCAATGCTACTTCTCACCTTCTATAAAAACTCACAATATTTTGGGTATGTTAACCCTTTTTGAAGTCATTTTCATAGATAACTAAAAAGATTAACTAATCTTAAAAACAGTGTTTAATTGTTAAAAATTTTGAAGCATCCTTCAATTATTTCATTCTGGCTAGTTGTTAATTTTTCAGATAAGAATTTTTAGGAAGATGTATATCTTGGTAGTGTTGAAAGTAATTCTTTTATTTTCTTTGACTCTAACATTAACCAATGCAGGTATTTTCTCTTATACATCAATGTAAATCTGTATTCATTCACTCATCCATTCACTTTTTTCTTTTAGCATGTACTTATAATGTAATAATTGAAAAACAAGTAAATATAAATGCATTTGTAGTATTTTATGGTAATGATTTGGACTTGTGCAAATATGTTTGTGACCATCTAATTCAATGTTATTAAGTACTCATATAACATATTTTAAAGTATTTCAAGAGCAGTTCAAAAAGGTTATTGAAGTCACAACATATCTTATAGAATTTATCTTAACTAGCCAAAATTTTCATAGTTGATAACAATCTTCAAAGTATATCTTGTTTTTTATATTAAAGGGCTTTTGGTAAACGCTACACTTACTATAATTTTAGAAAATCACAGTCACCAATCAAAGACTCGCCTAGTAATGCCTATTCTGATTGTTACAAGAAGAGTTCTTGTTGTAATGTATATCCAAATTGTTAATATTCTTAAATTAGACTGTTCCAATTTTTACATTAAACTTTCCTTTACTGTTTAATCCATTCAGGAGGCATTCCACCATTTCAGAGTAATATATAATAAAATATACTTAAATTAGGTAAACACTATTCCAAAATATCACAAAGAGCATTTAGTAGTACTTTTTATGGAAGATTTCATGGCGATTGTTCTCTCATATGTAGCAGCATTCCAGTTTGCAAGTAATATGTCCATTTGATCATTTTGTGTCCTAAAATTGTTTATACAATCATTACAGATCATATGTTAAACAAGGAAGATTTTGTAATCTTTACACAAATATGCCTTCAGATCTAAGTAACCTTACTAATCGAAAGAGATAAAGACTATTACTATGAGTCAGAGTAAATTTTAACAACTCAATTAATTACAACAATTCCAACTGAACAACCAAGTAAACAGACACTAAATTGCGTTTCTGATATAGGTCATACAAAAAGAATTTTAATAAATTTGAGGACATTCCTCTCAAGAATGCAATGAGAATGGTTGATAGATAGCACCAATTACAAAAGAAACTACTGGCTTACCAATCAGTTCTCCAGCAGAGAGAAATCCTGTAAAGACAAAAGGAGAAGCAAAATTGAATATCTAGTTCAATGAAAGAATTATGAAAAAAGGATTTTTCATTATGAAAAAACTGGATATGGCTAATAATACTTAGATGTAATTTCTTAGAAAGTGTTGGAGCTCTTATTGACTTTGCAACAAAAACAAGTTTTCTTTCCATTCTTTCTAAAAAGAGAAACTAGCTAAAAAGTTTCTGCAATAAAATCAAAGTCAACAGACAAAATTTGAATAGTACATTAACCATATTTTTTATTCAATTTCAGGAGTAACAATTTGAAAAGAAAGTAAATGAAAAATGTTCCTTGATTGATTGATTGGCTGAGTGTTTTCTTTTCATTGTTGTATTACCATGATCAATAGTACTCAATATCAAAATCTTTATCATATATAACTTTGCAATCTTGAAACTTGTTCCTAATCAAATTGAATTCTTCCTCCTCTCCCTCTTTTGCCTCTTCTTGTTTTCCTTGTGTTTGTAGAAAACAATCCATAACATAAATTTTTTTCAAAGTTCCATTTGAAGATTGAAGAGCATCGCAAATCATTTCAATATCATATTTATTGAAGACATTGCTTGATAAATCAATACTTATTAATGAAGTACAGTGTTGCAAGACATTTTCTAAATGTTTCAGTTGATCCTTTTTTAAATAACATTCAGAAATTGAAAATATTTGTAGAGTGCTGGCAGACTGTTTAAGACCATTGCAAATTGCTTCAAATCCACAACTTTCCATTTGTGGATTATTTGTTAAATCAATATTCTCCAAAAGAGTGCATTCTTGTAGTAAATTTCCAAGTTGAATTGCCTGATCTTTTTGTATATTGCAACTATCAATATTAATAATTTTAAAACTATTAACATTAGATTTCAATCCTTGAAAAATTGCTTGAAATCCATCTTTTTCTATTTTTGGATTACTAGACATATCAAGTTTGTTTAGTAAAGAAGAATTTTGAAATATATTCCCCAAATACTTGCCATCATCATCCATTAAATTACAATTGTAAATGTTAATTTGTTGTAAAGTTTTAGCAGAAGATAAGAGCCCTTGGCAAATTATTTGAAATCCCTTTCCCATATTGGTATTTCCATTTAAATTGATATATTCTAATGAAGAACATTTCTGAAATGTATCTCCTAAAGAAATTGCTTGTTCTTCGTGTAAATCGCAATGGCTGAAATTAATTTCTTTAAGTGTATTAGCAGAAGATTCAAGTCCATCACAAATTGTTTGAAATTCATCTTTTCCTATTCTTGAATTATTTGACAAATCAAGTTTAACTATTGAAGGACACTGTTGTAGTGTATTACCCAGAATTTTAGCATCATCACTTGCTAATTTACAGCTAGAAATATTGATTTGTTGCAAAGTTTTAGAAAATGATCTGCACGTTCCACAAATAAATCCAACTGCAAGTTCCATTTTGTGATTTGAAGATATATCAATATTTACAACAGAACAGAATTCTCTTAATGTTCTTCCTAAGTATATTCCTTGAAACATATCCAAATTACAATGACTAACTTTGAATTGTTTCAAAGTATTAGCAGACAACAAGAGTCCATTTAGAATCAGTCTAAAACCATAACCCATTTGCCAATTGTATGACAAATCTATATCCTCTATATACTTGCACTTTTTCAATAGCTTTCCCAAATATTTCCCTTCATTTTCTGTTAAATTACAATCACTAACATTGATGCATTTTAAACATTTAGCCAAAAATCCAAGCCCATCAAAAATAAATTTGAATCCACTGCCCAATTTTCTATTCATTGATAAATCAATACTCTCTAGTGAAGAGCATTCTTTCAACATAGTACCCAAACATTTTACCTGATCATCTTTCAAGTTGCTATCACTAAGGTTGATTTGTTTTAAAAAATTTTTATTCAGAGATTGAAATTGATTAAAAATTACAAAAAATCCAATTTTTGTCTTGGTATGTTGTTCTGAATTTACCCAACATTTCATAAGTGTATTTTTCCAAAATCTTTTCAATAGTCCATCTTTAACATTATGTTGAAATTGAGATAAATCAATAGTTTCAATTCTAACAGAATTGTTTCTTTTCATCCAGTTGAATAGCATTGTTAAATCTCCATCATTTGAATGAGTACATTCTGGATGTTTGTAAAACCATAATCTCCTCTTCTCATCATTAAGACAAATAAATACAATTTCCTTTTCCCGAAATTTTATACAAAAACTATTGTGTTTGAGTTCTTCAACTGAAATGTGTTGCTTGTAATTTTTTAACATTTCCATATCTATATCAATAATTTTGCAGTTTTCAATCTTCAATTTTTTAAAAATCTTTCCTTCTTTTTTGATTTTAATCATTTGAAAAAATTCATTTCTTCCTCTTTTCCCAAAAATTTTATTTCCAATAAATAAATTTTCCAATAGAAATAAATTTTCAAAGAATTGAATTCTATTCTTGTGAAAATAGTTTTCTTTGATGTATGATTCATCAATAAATTCAGTGACGTAATTCCAGTTAAAAGTTGCATGTAGAGAATAATTTGTCGCTTGCAAATCACTGGATAAATTAATGATAAAATTGTAATGATTGGCATCAGTTTCACCAGATTTATTCCTTTTTATGTTTAATGTTTTCTGTCCAAATGTAATTTTTTCTATATTTGTTGATATAATCAGATTTATCATGCTTTCTAAAGAAAACAATTCACCATTAAAAATTTCTTTAGATGATGTAATTTGGTGATTTTTTATTGAAAATTTTGTCAGAGTTTTACAATATGAAGAAAAGTATTCCATAAATGATGATGTTAAATTTATAGATATATTATCAAAGATGATATTCTCTAATCTTTGTCCTCTTTTCTCTAAGAGAGTAGCTAAGACATTTTCATCTAGCTTTTCATTTTCTAAAATTAGTACTTTATCATTTTTTAAACCTTGTTCTAGTAGATTTTTTAAATTGTCTGTAAGATTAAACATTTGTCCTACAGTGCTAGAATTTAGCAGCAAATCTTTGAAAAGAGTTGAAGAACTGTGTTTTACAAATTCCAGAGTATTGTAGAAAATTAGATTGATTCTCCCCTTTAACAATTCATAAACATTATAAGAATTCATTGTAGATGAACAGAGGCCATTTTGAATTTCGAGTTGTTTAATAAGGAATTGAGAAGCGAAAAACTCTTGGAATGATGAATGATAAAAATGTAATTCCAGAAAACTTGATGATGTTGATGATGAAGTTGGAATAATATAAGCTAGACCTTTAAGATTTTTCTCAGTAAACTCTTTTATCAAATCCAAATCTTTCTCCAAAATGATTTTACTTTTTCCAAGATTATCAAAGCATAATTTATGAAATTCTTCATTATTTTCACTGTATTTCTCTTGATCTTTGCTAAATTGATTCTTTTTGTAAACAATATCAATTAAACTTTGATATATTTGAGAAAGTGATTTATTAGAAATATCTCCATTTTGTGTCCATATATGGTAAAGAATTAATGCTATTAATGGAATTTCACATAACATTTTTATCCTTATATTCCTCTTGACAACGCCCTCTATAAATTTTATATTCCTGTTGTTATCTTCATTGGAAACAGCTAATTGGAAAAAAGATTCCATTCGATTAATATTCCATCCAGTTAATTCAAAAGTAATGTCAAAGTTATTCTTAATATTTCTACTTTTCAGTTTCCTTGACCATATTGAGGTTGGAATATTGTAATGAGCCTGACCATTAATTATATCACTAAATTGCTGATTACCATGGTGAATTTCATGAGCTCCATCAAGAAAGAGAATGATATCATTTCTTTTCTCAAAGAAAAATGATTGAACAATATCCTGAGTAATAT